AGATCTGACTGGTACAGGAGGAGATTGTCCCTCCTTCCCCGGCAGAGCATCTGGTGGATTCGAACCGTGTGCCTCTGGGATTGTAGTTGAGGAAGATAAATTGTAGAAGTTTAGACCTCAGAATTTTGTTGTATATTATAAAAATCCCACAAAGTAAATATATTTTAATATAAAATGTATGATTTAACCTATGTACATTTGATACATAATAGGTATTATTTAATGTTTATTTCTGGAAATGGCAAAATTTTTAGCAATTTGAACCATTTCAGATGTCTTAATGAAAGCAGTAATTTACTGTAACTGCTTTCACCCCTGTCTGAAGTGGATTCTATTTTTGTTGTATACATGTTACCTTCAGTACTGTACACGCACATTGGTAAGACCTCCAGGATAGCTGAACTGATATCACCGATTCATTCATGTAAGCCTAAGGCACCAGATGTAGATTATTTAAAGGTCTTTCTTGGCCTTAGTTAGAGTCATATCCTTACTTTTGGTTGAATGGCTTATATTCATTGTTACATTCATGTAGTTATTTTAGCCAAGATGGATGGATTGAATTTTCTTTTTTTTGTTTCTTCTATTTCTTACCTTGTTTGCATTTTTCACATACATCCTTCTCCCATTAAATAAAGTAAAAGTTATGGGAGATACAGACTTATCATTTGAAATTTATATTTTTCCCCATTTGTGCTATATAATATTTTTGCAGCTTAAAAAGAAAAATAGTTCTAGTGGATAGTTATGAGACACAACGAGTTCACTTATATATGTATAGGAACCTGCTAGGTAGTTCTACTCCAAATGAATACATAATTTACATTGTTTAATTTTTGTTATCACTTAAGAGTCCCTAATTTTGGAAAAAAAAAAAACCAAACAAAAACCCAAAAGCAAACAACACAAAAAACAAAACACAAATTCCAAATTTAAGAAACTTAACACTTTATTGTAAGGAAAATTATTGATTTGTTAGGGGACCAGTAAAGAACACAATCAGGAAATTCGTACTCTCCTCTTCTGTAGTATCAAAAAAAGTTAGTTTCTAGAATAAGACAGTCATCACCTTCTACATAAATTCTGTCTTTTCTGAAAAACTGCCCAGCAGTGTATCAACCTAGGGAAGGATGATTCCTGCCCGAGCCACTCCTTACCCCCTTACCTTCCCCTTTGATGGGACAGATCTCAGGGTTATTTTGTTTTATTTTTGAAATGAAGAGAAGGAATTGAGTTTAGCAGGTGGCCATTTTTACCAGTGTCAAAGGCAATATGCTTATCATCACTGTTTTCAGGGACAAGAATCTGTGAAACTTCTCCAAAATGATATAACATTTCTTTTTAGTGTTTTGGAAAGAGGATGAAATAATATTTTAATAATGGCACCATGGTGACCCAAACTATTAGGCAACAGGCTGTTAATTAGGTTGGTGCTTTGAATCCACCTAGCAGCTCTACAGTAGGAACACTTGGAAGTCTGCTTCCAGAAAGATTACAGTAAAAATCCAGTAGAGCCAATCTTCTCAGTCTCGTGGGGTCATTGTGTGTCAGCATTGACATGGTGACACCTCATGAAACATGTTCAAGATGCTCTGTAGTGACTACACCTCTGGACTTTGGGTTAAACAAGACATTACCTAGTGCTGTGCCTTGTACAAATGTAAAATACTTGAAATGCTTGACAACATCTAGTTTTATTTCCTGTCAGTTTTACCTGCTCTGCATGTTTTTGTTTTTTTTTGAGAAAAGTGCATGTAAAAGGCCAGTGTTCAGAAACTGGGGAAAAAAAAAGACTTGCTCTACTTTAACACTCCTTAAAAACATAGCAGATTAGAAACATATAAAGGGGGGAAAAGCTTTACTTTAAAAATTTTAATTAGATGTTCTTTATAAATTATCATTTCCTTTGATTAACATTTCCCTCATATATTATTAACTTTGTGACAGAAATGGTGAAAGTAATTTTTTCAGAAGGTTAAAATGAAACTTAATGTATATACTTAAATGTTATAAATTGATGCCTGCAGAGCTATCTTTAGTTGACTAAAATGTTTTTTAAAAAAAAATCTATTTTTTTTTTATCTAGAGGTAGAAGAGAGTATAATGGTGCTTTCTTTTGCTCTTCCTTTGTTTTCTCCTTTTTGCCTCATCAACACTATTTAGGGAGATGCATTTTATCTGACTTATTAGATGCTATTTAGAAAAAAAACTTGAAATGCTTCACTGAGAGTTTGGACTCTGGATTAACCTAGGAACTAGCTCAGGTTTTCATTATGAATGAAGGGACTGATTTTTAAAAGTGGGGGACAAAAGCAGGAAAAGTTTTCTGCTGTGGATCGATTACTTCAAGATGATTTTGATTCATAGTAACCCAGTGTCACAAGAGTAGCCCTGCTATATAGGATTTTCTAGGTGGTAATCTTGAATGTTTTGACAGGTCTTTTTCTACAGAACCACTGGATGGGTTTGAACTGGAAACTTTTTGATTATTAGCCAAGTGTTTAACCAGGACTTCTTACTTTACCCATAGTGGTATAGGTTTAACTTGAACATTGAACTATTTACCAGGCTGAGAACTTAATCAAGAACTCTGTATTTTGTTGGATCTTTCATTAATAATTTTGAATGACCTTTAGCATTCAGTATTGCAGAAGAAGAATCATTTTGGGGTCATTCTTTGCAAAGAAACTAATAATTCAATAATTTTCCCTCTGTTAACTTAATTCCTTTTGAAATCATTAGCATTTGACTGTGTAGTAGTTGGAAGGCCCTACTCTTGACTTATGTCACATTCCCCTGCCTTCAGGTTTAGGAACAAAGTCTCAAAGAAAGGAAGAGTTAGATCATAAGATAACATTTTAAGTAATTGTTAAAACAATAAATCAGTATTAAAATGATATTTAAAATAATCATAGATCGGCTTTGCAATTTAGAAGCATTAACTGGTCTGGAGAGAAATTTATTTTCATAGGTGAGGAAGAATTAAACTAGGTTTCTCAAGCATTTTTGTGGAAAATAACAAGTAGATATTTTTGACAGAATCAGGATAATATTTTAGACTTTAAAGGTGGAAAAATACCTAAGATCAGACTGGTGTATTTGAATGCTATTTGGACTTCATTTCTTTTAGGTGCCGAAGCATTTTGACTAATACTTAAATAATATTTCAGCAGAATGTAAGAAGAGAAATTGCATTTAGGGCGAGAGTAGTGCATGTGTGACATGTGCTTTGAAGGCAGATTTCTTGCTGACTACAGAGCTGTGCCCCTCTCCAGAACAGGAGTGAGCACCAACACATGTAGGATTAGAAATGTTGTTCCTCAGCTGCATAGTTGTTGCTCTGTAGCCACACCTTGCTACTTGCTGCTGTTCAACAGAATAGATACAGAGCATTTGTATTAAAGGGAGTTCTGCTGAAAGCACTTCTGAACAAAGCCAAGGAGGGATGTCATAAATGACTCAAAATTTCTAATTTAGGGAAGTCATGATCCTATAACCCTTACTTAACCTTATTTTTGTCAAATTTGAATACATAATGATTTTGCTGCTGTAGTCTTTTTAAAGAATTTCTTGTTGAACTATACATAGCAAAACTTGCACTAGTCAATCACTTCTGCATGTTCAATTCATTGACATAGATGACAGTCGTTGAATTGGGGAACCATTCTCATTTTCAGTTTCTAAATTGTTCCCCATAAACTCACCATTCTCCAAGGTTCCTTTATGTAGAAACAGTGTGGTGGGCCCAGTGGTGGCAGCTATGGCCTCTGACCTCCACTGATATCACCAGGATGAAGAATCCCATGGATAGATCAGTAGCACAAAACTGATTCTGGTGAAGTCCAGCGTGTTACCTGCACTCCACATCTTCAATTCTGATAGGACAGTTATTGCTTCTCTGCTGGGTTTGATACTTTGATGCAGTTGTCATATAGACTTTATGGCTTTTTTCTTGCTCTGTGAGCTGGACATCCACAACTCTGGCTTGCAATAGTTTCTGAGTCACTGTGGCCACTGCCACCATCTCATCTGCCATCTCTCTGTCTGGCTCCATCTCTCTAGTCCATAGCTCCCTTTCTCTGGTTGGCACAGAGATCTCAGATCCAAACAACAACTTTTACTCAATGGTTCTTTCTTCTAGATTGTAGGGAGAGCCTCCATTTCTGCCTCTGGATTAGCTCAGTTTCTGGCAGGCTTTATTTAAAAGGAGCTCAATCCCATATTAGCCTTCTCTACATCTTATTTGCTTAGCCAGAGCACTTAATTGTGCTCTGTAAAATCTGTACCAACCCAAGAAGCAGTGGTCCAAACAGAACAAGTGAACACTTGTTTATAGTCAAGAAAGTTATGTGTCAGGGCTGTATCCTTTTTCTATACCCATTCAACC